CGGACCGCGAGATCGTGACCTGGCTGAAGTCGGACGCTTAACCGACTGCGCCACCCAGGCGCCCCAATCCATGCTTGTTTTAAATGATTCATCGGAACCCTCTAGGGCAATGAGAACCCTCTGGTTTCTTATCTAATTAAACTTGATTTCTCTGGTCTACCATCCTTAAGAGGAACATCCTGGTTCTTTGAAATCCTGCAATTATATTTAACAGCTGCGTTCTTACAGAAGAACTATCAGATACTTTTGTGTATATCAGTAGAGTGTATATCATCATTTATTAGACTCTTTAGATCTTCGTTGACCAATTTGAAGATCTTGGGGACAATCTTTCACTATATGTTTCATAATATATCCATCACTAAGTGAATTACCACTGAAGACCATTGGGGCAAATGGTTCTTGGTGCTCCATTCAGGTGGTTCTGATGCTTTCCTTTGGGATAAATTGATTGCTGGGTAATTTCTGTGTGACAGGAGTATATCAGGCGACAGCTAGAAGAGGAGCAGCGGCACTTGGAAATCCTTCAGCAGCAGCTGCTCCAGGAGCAGGCCATGTTACTGGTAACGCCTTGTATCTGTCTTGTTCCGTAGCATTAGGGCTCATTTCTCTATCCCTCCCCTGAGCTTTGGGCATAGCCGTGGTGATTACCAGACCATTTTGGTTAGCGTTGTGGGCTGACAGGCTCAAATGGAGATGTCCTCTGTGGTCATGCTGCTTTGGGCACATTTTGAGGTGGCTTCTATTTACTTATTTCCTGTTAAAGGGTTAACTGTTCTCTTTGGTAGATAGCAAGGGTTTGAACAGAACTTGGCATTCAGTGAACAAACTAGAATGCCAAAGGCTGAAAGTTCAAAGCACATGCCATAGGATTTTTGCCTAGTACACTAACTTTTGAAACCACCAGAACCAACTTTTAATTGAATTCTCTCTCTGTCCAGTGATATTATGGTTAGCAACAAGCTGTCATATTTTTCCACAGGTAATACGCTATTTAAAATCCCAGTCATTTTGCTCTGTGATTAAAAAAAGGTGGGGGGGGAAGGCATGGTCTTTGTGAAAAGTTGAGAATGAATCCAGAGAAGAGGCAAGTTGTGCGGTGGCCCATAGATTTAGTGTTCTCCTCTCCCTCTCCAAGGAGTGCCGATGGCGGGAGATGGAGGAGCACCGGCAGGCAGAGAGGCTCCAGAGGCAGTTGCAACAAGAACAAGCATATCTCCTGTCTCTACAGCATGACCACAGGAGGCCGCACCCGCAGCAGCAGCAGCCACCGCAGCAGGAAAGGAGCAAGCCAAGCTATCACGCTCCAGAGCCTAAGCCCCACTATGAGCCCACTGACAGAACCCGAGAGGTATTTTCTTTCCTTTGTTGCTTAAATATTGATCTGGTGTTGCTCATTCCCTGGGAAGTAGTAGAATGACTCTTAGGAGCTGTGTAATAGTAAGCTTAGACAGGGACACAGAGAGCAGATCAGAGCCAGTCTTTTGGTTTTCTAGCCAAGAAAATGTGGTTCAGACAAGTGAAAGGACACTTGCCTGCGGTCCCTTATCTGCTTGGTGTTTTCTCCAGAGACGACCAGAGTGCCTCTGTAAACAACTCTTGGGTGAAGTGAGCACTAAACAGAGGGAAGATTATATGGCAAAATCATTCCTAAAATGTACATAAGGGGATGGTGGCCTGGTTAACTATTTTTCCAAAACCACCATGAAAATGAACAGTGCCTATAGCCCAATTATACTGACTTTTTTAACAAATCACTGATTGTGATTTGTTAATGAAATTGGTGCAGTTGGGCCACCCAGAGCCTCCTGGTGATGATGTGGCAAAGCGGTAACTTTTGGAATACTAGGAGTCCTGGAAGCTGGTTGACTTCTGTAGTGTGTTGAAACCTGGCCTGTAGGTGGCACCCTTCCACCACGTCTCACCCTCACAGAGAGTAGATTCTAGGAACAAGTGTTCTCCGCATCCTAGAATGCCTTTGTTTTGGGTACGATGAAATGTGTTTTGAATTCCTGATGATAATCTTCTAATCTTAATCTTTTGGTGTAGTTAGTTGTGACGTTCATTTTTTTTTTCTAGTTTATCGTCATGTACAATCTTAGAATTCTTGCCAGGAGATTTTAAAGGCTTAATTTTTATTTTCATATTTCTTTATCTCAAATTGAATTTTAGCCCTATTATATTTGCCTCCTCTCTTTCCTTGTAGCTAGAGAAAAGAGAAAATTTCTCTCTAGGGCCCTTCCACTCAAGCTTTCTTTGGGATCTCTGCTTTTCCCTACTAACACTGAGTTATGTCTTCTAATTCTCTGATGCAGGTGGAAGATAGATTTAGGAAAACTAACCACAGCTCCCCTGAAGCCCAGTCTAAGCAGACAGGCAGAGTATTGGAGCCACCAGTGCCTTCCAGATCAGAGTCTTTTTCCAATGGCAACTCCGAGTCTGTGCATCCTGCCCTGCAGAGACCAGCTGAGCCACAGGTAGCAACAGCCCGGTGGCTGTGGGCTGAGGTGACTCACACGGTAGTTCACTAAGCCATGGGCCTGCTTGTAACATTCACAGATTGGTTTGTTACCACATTAGGAAGAAAAGAGATTTGCAGGAGTGATTCTAAATTAACTTACAGGTGATATCCCCTTAGTTGATAGAGAAAAGAAGGATTTTTTAAAAAGATTTTTATTATACTCATTAAGGATATCTAGATTCAGTGATTACTTCTTTTAGTCTTTTTGTCTTTCCTAACTCAGATGCTCATAAACAAATGCCTCCTTTCTCTAATTCAAAAATTTTTCAGGTTTGTTTTTAGAAAGTACATAGAGGGAGAACCAGAACCTTTTCTTAACCTTTGATCCTTGGTTCCTGGCCAGTTGCATGAGTGGGCTTTTGGAAATCCAGTGACAGCCCAGTTGAAATTACATATAGAATTTCTTAGTTTGTCCAAATGTACCTATTTTTTTCTGGGAAAAGGGCCTTTCATTAGATTCTCAAAAGGTTCAAGATCCAAAAGAAGATATGATCTAGTAGGTTCAGTATGCATTTCCCTGAAGTAGGCCAGGGGAAAGGTCCTTTCATTAGGTTGACCACAGCATTCTGCCTTGTCTAGGTGAGGGAGAACCCCTGGGCTGAGTGCTATGTGGTTAAAAGAGAACCCTCTGTCCTGTCCAGAGAAAACAGTTAATAGCAGGGATTATCCATGTCAAAGATCTGAGAGGTCCTTAAAATACAGATTCCCATTCTCTTACTGAAAATAAATAACATTTAGACATTTGGCACCTTGAAGCCTGAGTTGACTTGTCACGGATGCTTGCATGTGTTCGGGGACAAAAGTTCATATTCTTGTGATTGAAGTAGCTGTGGTGTTCAGAAAAAAAAAAATCCCAAGGAGGATTTGAACATGCTTTACAATAAATAATCCCAGTATGGAGGAGTTTTTTTTTTAAAAAAAAAAAAAAAGAAGAAGAAAAGAAAAAAGAAGAAGGACCAGACCTAATAAGCAAAGCATGTGTTTGTGGGGTGGGGGGCGTTAGGGGACAGGGAGGAATTTACATGCAGTCAGCAGTGTGTTGATTCACAGAAGAGCTGAGCCACAAGCCAGATTGTGAAGAAAACAGTACAGGTTAAAAGGGGGGAGAGGGAAGGGAAGAGGGACTAGTACAGTAGGTTTGTTTAACAACATTTGGATGAAGAGTCTAGGACTAAACTTTTTATTCTGAAAGTTAAACTTACAACAAATAGAAAATTTTTATCTATTTGGCCACTAACAATTTAGAAAATAGGAGTTCCTGAATTATGTAGGCTACTTTTATATTAATGATTATAGTCTCCCTTTTCTTCTTTTTACCTAAAGTTGCTTTGGGCTGAAACCTATGCTTATGAAAAAATTCTTTGAGGAGACTGTTCACATAGGATTCTATTTTTAAACCCAATTTTTATTATAGTTGTAGATAATGCTTTGTTTCACATTTTCCACCTGAAAATTTTAAACATTTAAGTGGTCTGGGATTATGCCAGTAAGTGGAATTTGTCCCTCTCCTATGGGACTTATTCTGAATCTTGCATTTAGAAAGGTTGAGCCAATTGTGATTTGGTATTTTTAGTTCTCATTAAGTGCGTTGATATAATAGATAGCATAGCTGGAATTATATAAATTGCAATCTAATATAATAAAATACAGATTATTTCAGAGATTATTTTCCCAACTTAAAAGCAACCAGATTAACTCAGGTGACAAGTTGTTGTTAACATTTTTTCAATTGTCAAGTAGAAGGCATACTCCAGTAGCAGCAGCAGAGGGAATGATAGTATTGAATATTCCTGAAGAAACCAAAATTCCTTTTTTTGTAACTACTGTGAACATGTATAGCAATCTCTAAAGCATGAGTGTTTTATGACTTGAGAGAAGAAAGAAATAAAATCGGTGTATTTGAAAAGTTGGCTGTTTTTAAGTTGTATTGCTGTAGTCTGCCAACACATAGGGGTTTGTCTTTGCTCATTAAATGTGTTCTGTGGTTATTTGGTCTGAAATTGTACGAGACCAGGTGATGTGAGGACGGATGGATAGGTCTGCATGTATGGCAGTGTCTGTCTTGTGGTTTTTCTTTTCTCCCTCTCTCCGCCTGTCCACTCTCTGCTTTGACGTGGATGTGCATGCAGCATGTTGTCCTCCCTTTTAGGACTAGGAGTCTGTGAGGGTTTTTTTGTGTGATTTTGTTTTGTTTCCTTAATCTTTGTGTTTACTGCTATCTGTAATGTTAGTCTGGATATTAAAAGAGTTTTCTTTATAAATGTAAATTTGCTTTTTTCTATATATTGTGTTCCCCAGACTGCTTCGTCCCTTAGAAGTATAACTGTTCCACTGCTTGGCTTACCGAGTACTGTATTGCCCCAGTTTGCCTTCCCCTACTTCTCGTTTTGGATTTGGTATTGACCAGAAAAGCGTTTTATGCAGAACGCATTGAATGTTTTGTGTTTTGTTTTCTTGTAAGGTACAGTGGTCCCACCTGGCATCTCTCAAGAACAATGTTTCCCCTGTCTCGCGATCCCATTCCTTCAGTGACCCTTCTCCTCCCAAATTTGCACACCACCATCTTCGCTCTCAGGACCCATGTCCACCTTCCCGCAGTGAGGTGCTAAGTCAGAGTTCTGACTCTAAGTCGGAGGTACCTGACCCCACCCAAAAGGCTTGGTCTAGATCAGACAGTGACGAGGTGCCTCCAAGGGTAAGAAGCAGAAAGACAGATGTGTGCTTCTTTTTTCCATTTTGTTATTTAAAAAAAAAATTATTTATTTTAATTAAGGGTATGATGGCTTCACCAGAATGAAGGGGCAATGAAACTTCAAAGGAACTTTTTACAGTGGGGAAAGTTCCATAGTTAGGCAGTTATATTCAACCAGTGGCCAGTTAGCTTTTTATGGTTGTTGTTAGTGCTATACTTAAACACAGAGTAACAGAATAATATATGAGTAAGTCTATAAAGAATATACTTCTAGAACAAAAAGAATCAAAGTGTATTTTAGCAGCTGTCTTACACATTTATACAAAAGCTATAAATTGTTTTGCAACATTAATGATTATCAAAATTTTCAGAAAAGGTCTTTTAAGAAAAATTTAACATAAACATTTCCAAAAAAATGATTTTGTTCTTTTTAAATTGAGGGATTTTTGTTTTTCAATTTTTTGTTTTGTTTTTGGTAGTTAATGGTGAAGTTAAATGAAAGGCACTTTTTCATTTCGTTAATTTTTCCCTCCACTTGGAATTTGCTTCCTCTGAATATTTTCTTGCTTCCTACCAGTCTTCATTTCCTACTGATCCGTTTGTAGACCATTGTTTGGTTTCTTTGAGCTTATTTTTCTGATTCTCACATTATCTCAACAAAATGCTTTGTATGTCCCCTGCCACTAAGCTTCAATACAAACATCATTTAAATGTTACGGAAGTGTAGAAAGGCTGTTTGTCCTGGCTCCTTTGATGCCTTTGACTTAAATTTTCTCTATCATATTGAATCAGTGGAGGGCATAGAAGGATCAGGGAGAGGGGTAGTGATAGTAAGGCTCACATAATTCAGACTGTTGTAAAAATATGTTTTGGTAGGGAAATATTTTTTTCTTCTCATTTTCAATAATTTAATTGCTATATTTTTCTACCCCAAGGTTCCTGTGAGGACAACATCTCGTTCCCCTGTTCTGTCGCGTCGGGATTCCCCACTGCAAGGCAGTGGACAGCAAAATAGCCAAGCAGGTCAAAGAAACTCCACCAGGTAAGAGAAGAGGGAAGCTTAAGAATAGGTTTACTGCACAGAATATTCCATCATACTTGTTTTCATAAAAATGCTCATAAACATGGAACCATCTGGGGTAAAGAAATCATCAGTTTATAAAAGAAAAACTGCCAGGAAATCCATTATCATGAATAATAGCAAACTGGTCTATAGTGAAAAAAGAGTCTGAATCCAGTTGTATGTTTGGCAGTTTTAAAATGAAAACTTCCTGTCTGTGTAAGGGCAAGTGGAAGGAAAGGCAGGGAAGGCAGGGGAGAGTCTGAGACAATTGTAACCTGAGAGAGTTTATCCTCTAAAGGATGTCCTAATGCCTTGGGAGTGGTATGGAAATCACAAACGAAAGAAAGTGCAGGGTTGACTTGCAGTCTGTAATAAACTAGTGAGTTAACCAAATAATATTTTCAGGTTGTAGAGCTGTTCTGTTACTTAAAATAGCTAAACAGCTATCTAAATTTGAATTTAACTTAATTAAAATTCAATATAATTAAAAGTTATTTTCCTTAGCTGTGCTAGTCCCATTTCACATGCTCAGGAGCCACGTGCATGTTATACTACCATGTTATACTACTCAGCCACAGAGTGTTTCCATCCTCTCTGTGATTTCCATTGGCCAGTGCCGTCCTAGGAGAAGGAAAGGGCACTATGTTGACTATTTTGTACTTGATCACCGCCAAACCTCTGAAGTTAGCCTTGTGCACATCTAGCCTTTTAGAACTTGAAGTGCTAAGATGGAAGACAGGCCAGAAGCTGCAGAGAGCTTTCTTAGTCCTTAAATGATCAGGGTAGACTGTGGGATTCTCCTGTGATTGAGTCTCTGTATTAATTGTAACCTAGCAAACTTGTGCTCTGATTGCATCCGTGGCCAGGGTACATCACAACCTGTGCTTTCTGTCATGTTTCTAACACAGCCCATACAAGGGAGTATGCTGCATAAGTGTTGGCCCTTGAAGGCACTGATGGACAGTGAGAATAGTATAATTTTGTGTGTGATTACATAAGTAGAGTTTTTTATAATAAGAAACTGAGTTTGTAGCTGTGACAGAAATAGTAACGCTTTTAGACTGAACAGTAGCATTTCCTGTCAGTTGTGATGAAGATGTGGGGTCTGCTAATGGTAGCCTGTCACTTATAACATTTTTGATATGAGATTATCTGGGATACTTTGTATACCCAAAACCAATGTGACGTGTGTGAACTATACTTGAATTTAAAAAGGATCTGGGAGATAAAAATCCATGAATAACCTAATTAACTTTTGGTGAATTTAATGTTAAATGCTGTTTTAATGTTAAATGTTGCCATTTTTTTCTCACCTAGATTTCAAAGACATCGATGGACACATCACGCATATGTTTATAACTTCATCTTGGCATAATGCATTAGCTTTTCTCTTTTCTTTTCTAACAGCAGTATTGAGCCCAGGCTGCTGTGGGAGAGAGTGGAGAAGCTGGTGCCCAGGCCCGGCAGTGGCAGCTCCTCGGGGTCCAGCAACTCAGGATCCCAGCCTGGGTCCCACCCTGGGTCTCAGAGCGGCTCTGGGGAGCGCTTCAGAGTGAGATGTAGGATGCCTTTGTTTTTCCCATCCCTCATTAACAGTATTGGGTTATGATAGTGTATTGGAGGTTCTTTTTAATCATGTAAAAAGGACTATGGTTTTTCCACAGCTGCATACCACAAAGCAATGTTTCAGTACAGGTTGCTAATGCTACCATAATTTTAATAATAAAGAGTTCACTTTTGAGAGCTTACACATGCCTCTCATTGTGAGCACTTTATATGCATAATCTCACTTAATCCTTAAAATGACCCCAAGAGAGAAAAAGAGAGAGAGAGAGAGAGAAAGAAATGTATTGTGTCTCCATTTTACAGATTAAAGCAACTGCAGTTTAGTGAGATTGATAAACTTGTCCAAGATGATTAGCTAAATGTCCGAGCTGGGATTTGAACCCACTTCTTAGAATGTAGGCTCCCATCCACTCTGTCATCATTATTGGTTATTTTAACTGTGAAAATATTAAGTTAGTGAAAGTTCCCTCCAGTATGTCATTGACATAACGTAACAAGGTGTTATGAATACATGCTAAGCAGAGTCAGGTCTGAGTGTGAAGCCTTGAGTGGGGCTAGCAGGAGTGGGAGGGAGAAGGAGGGGAGAGAGGCAGAGGCTGGGTGGGCTGGGTCAGCTTTATGTGACGCACTTCTCTATGTTTATCCATTTCTGCTCTTGAATTTCACAGCGTCATCCAAATCTGAAGGCTCTCCATCTCAGCGCCTCGAAAATGCAGTGAAAAAATCTGAAGATAAAAAGGAAGTTTTTAGACCTCTCAAGCCTGCTGTAAGAATTCTACAAAATCAGTTTTACTTATTCCAAGCTTGAATGAGATCTCTTAAAAATATGTGGTTCAGAAGCTTACAGTCTTTTTCATGGGGCCCTCTTACAGATTTCAGGACTTAGAAAGAGTGCCATGTCCTCACACATTTGTGCACACTTATATCCCACCATTATAGTAATTTTTTTTCAAAAAGTACAAAAGAAAGAAAAGCCTTTTTATTTTTACCTCTTTGCTCAGCGTTAACCTTTATGTATTCTTGCTAAGTTGGGTATTTACAAAGTGGCTTTAAAAAAAATTTATTTTTAATTTATTTTGAGTGGGAGTGGCAGAGAGAGAGAGAATCTCAAGCAGGTACCACGTTCAGTGCAGAGCCCTATGTGGGGCTCAATCCCACGACCGTGGGATCATGACCTGAACTGAAATCCGAAAGTGTTGTCTGACAATGTCTGACGCTTAAACAACTCAGCCACCTAGATGCCCCAAAACTGGCTTTTAGACTAAATTTTTTTACATTAGCTTCTTTCTTCAATTCACCTATTATTTAAATTCTGCCTTTTGGTACCAGAAATGACGGTTTTGACTTCCTCATACTTGGTCTTTAATCCTTGTTGCATTAACTGACCATGTAACTGTGCCCATTGGGGGGTTTTAAGCCTTTTGGAATTTTGATTTCTTGCTTGAATTGATTTCTGTACTTCCCCTCACTCCCCTCTCTCCCGTGCTTCCTTGTGCTGTGCATTCTTCATCACTGATGGCTTCTCCGGCTCACTGAAACTGCTACTGCACTGAAGGGTGAAGTGGTAAGCCCCGTCTCTGAAAGATTCTGCAGCAGAACAACATTCCAGCTGCCTCTTCATTTTAGCTTATAATCCATCCACATTTCCTTTCTGCCCTCAACTTGCCTTTTTGTTCTTTTCTAGAATTCAAAAGTCCTAGACTTCTGCTTTGTCTTTTTAACACAGAATTTACTGCATACATTTATTATTAAATACAGCTTCTAAAAATAACTTCTTAAAAAGCTACAGTTGTAATTATGAAATAGTAAGACCCAAGGTCCAATACGCTCTTATTTCAGAGGCTTAAGCTCAAAAAAGAACAAGATCTTCTTACCTGTGGAGAAGGAAACTCAGTTGGAACTGCTAAAAAGAAAAAGGAAAAGTGACTACATAGCCTGCTTTTAAAAAAAGTCATTACTTCCAAATGTAATTCCCAAGTAGAAACTTCAGACTTTTATATGAAAATGTAGAGTATAAATAATAATTACACTTAAAAATTATATTTGGATAATTGAGTGAATATTAAAATATCTCAGTATGGAAGAGTAAAGGGAAGCGAAGCTCCTTATGAATGATATCTTTGAATGTGGATTTCCGTTCTGTCTGATGTTCGTATTTGTTGGCAGCGTTGCAGGGAAGTGTGGGTAAGGTGGCACCAGGGAAGTGTGCCTCACCTCCTGCCGACAGCAGCACGCACTGCCTGCACTTTCTCACTTTCTGTGTCATGGACCCTCTTAGGAATGTGGCGAGTCGTTAACACTCTGTGAAGTGAGACATGAATAATATACTCACTTTTCTTAGCTTTGAAATTGTTAAAAATAAAAGAGTTAAAAATAATGAGTTCACCAAATAAAAACTCCCAGTCAGCCCTTTTTAACTAAAATCTTGCTTTCTGGATAGTTTTCTCGAGAGAAGACTTTGTTATATGGGCAGAACTCCAGGGATTTGCCTTCACACATTTGTTGATCTAGAATTTTACATTAGGGTTTTTAAAAAACACTATTACCTTATTGTAAGCAGATTGTTTTTTATTGTTGTGAGATTTGAACTGTGTGCAACATCTTTAGCTTCTTTTCTATCGAAAGCTTGAAGAGCTCACCTTCTTATTAATTATACTGGTAAATACAAAATAGTTTTACAAAACCGATACTGTGGCTATCTTATCAGTAGTTAAAATGAAGAATGTCTCATAATTTGCTGTTTTCTTCCCACTGCCCCCTGCGTGTGCCCCTTTGCCTTACTCCTTTTTGTCCTGTGCATTAGGATTTGACTGCACTGGCCAAAGAACTTCGAGCAGTGGAAGATGTGCGACCGCCACACAAAGTGACAGACTACTCCTCATCCAGTGAAGAGTCAGGGACAACAGATGAAGAAGATGATGATGTAGAACAAGAAGGAGCCGAGGAACCCACCTCTGGACCCGAGGACACCAGAGCAGCGTCAGTCCTTGGTGTATTTTAGAGAGGCTGAGAATGTCTCCACTGAGCTTTCTTTCCATTAGGAACCGTTTTTTTCTAAACCTATCCTGATTCTATGGCCATTTAACATTTAGTTCTCCTGGATTCAACAGCAGACAGCCTTCATGTTTTTCCCTCTTCTGTGTGTGTGTGTGTGTGCGCGCGCGCGCACGCGTGTGTGCCTCTCCCCAAGACCCCAACGTGTATTTTATTTTATTTTTTCTTTTTAATTTGAGGAAATGACAGAAGGGAAGTTTCAGTTTGATTGAACCACGTTAACCATAAGAATTCATCCTAAATTTTTTGCTTAAAAACAGACAATACTGGCAGAAAGGTCTTTGTTGAAAGGGAAAAGCTAAGCATTTATTTTCCTTGAGGAAACTATATCTGTAGCCTGATCTCATCTTATGCCTTTGGGAAGGTGGAAAATCTTTTTTTTTTTTTTTTTTTTAATTTTTTGTTTTTTTTAAAGTTTTATTTATTTATTTTTGAGAGAGAAACAGAGAGAGTGAGCAGGGGAGGGGCAGGGAGAGAGGGAGAGAGAGAATCCCAAGCAGGCTCTACCCTGTCAGCATGGAGTCCGATGCGGAGCTCAAACTCACACTGTGAGATCATGACCTGAGCTGAAACTAAGAGTAGGACTCTTAACCGACTAAGCCACCCAAGCACTCTGGGAAGATGAAAAATCTTAAACAGGATGTTTTCTGCTCATGGGATTATTATGGCCCTTCACTTCTGAATTTTGTTCCAATAGGTCATCTCTGAATTTGAGCAATGGTGAAACAGAATCCGTGAAAACCATGATTGTCCATGATGATGTAGAAAGTGAACCAGCCATGACTCCATCCAAGGAGGGCACTCTAATCGTCCGCCAGGTACCTGTGTCTTCTCTTTGTTGTTAGAGGCAGAGCTTCTCGTGTAGTCATTAACCCACTTGCTCATTCACTCACTCATGCTGTTTCTACATCATCATCTGTTTTCATGTTAACAAGACCCAGAGGGTAGAGTGTCGGGGGCTAGGGAGGCAGGTATGTGCTGCATGCCAAGAAGGTAGCTAGCGGTCTTCCACCCCACATTGCTGCTCCTCTGCATGTTTTGCGGCAGCCCTCATTCAAGCACCACGCCGATTCTCACAGTCTGTGTCTGAGCAGTAGAAAAGCCACATGGAGTCCTTCAGCAAGCTTGCAGGGCGAGGAGGCAGACCCCGGTCTGTAGTGGGGCAGCCGCAGAGGTTCTGCAGAGAGCTCCCAGCTCTGGGCATCCACAGTGCTCAGCAGGAGCAGCCCTTTGACAGGAGCAGTTGAAGAGTGGATGAGCCTCCTCAGTCACAGGAGGGCCTCGTGGAGCAAAAGGGTTGGGAGGTCTCGCTTGTGTGTTCCAAAACGTTAGTTTCCTCACTTGTTGAATATTAAATGTCGGATTACTCAGTTTTACAACTGTCTGTTCATTTCTTAGCTTAGAAGACAGAGAAGTGATGTGCTTCCCATGACATAGAACAGGCGCCTTTCTAGTGTTTTGGACTTTTCCTGAGTGTGTTTCATGCAATGGCAATGCATTCGGATGGAAAGTGGGAAGAAGGCGGAAAAGACCAGGATTCAGAGAAGCGACAGGGTACTCTCTAGGGCTTTAGATAGATTTTTAAAGAAACAAAAAAGGCTAGTGGTTTTGGTAACAACAGCTAGTGTGGCAGATAAACCAATTAAGCCGTCACCGCGCAAGTCCTGTGGCCACCAGATGAGGTACTTTGAATTCTGTTGGCTCAATGTAGGCATTTGGCGAGGAAGTGTGAACAATTTTGGCCAGTTTCCTCCGATCTTTCTTTGATAATTTAACAGTTTGAAAAGTCACACAGCACCATTAAGTCAGTTATCAGTAGGGTCATAGGGAATTTCAGCAGCGCTTGAGCGAGACGAGTGTGCCTGTTTTTTCTACAGAGTACAGTTGACCAAAAGCGCGCCAGCCATCATGAGAGCAATGGCTTTGCCGGTCGCATTCACCTCTTGCCAGATCTCTTACAGCAAAGCCATTCCTCCTCCACTTCCTCCACCTCTTCCTCCCCATCCTCCAGCCAGCCGACACCCACCATGTCCCCACAGACACCCCAGGACAAGCTCACTACTAATGAGGTATGTCTCGCACCACAGCTGGCTGCTTTCATAGGGTTTGACCAGCACTGCCTAGTAGCTAGTTTGCAGAGGAGACCTTTCCCACACCCCTCACCCCTCCCTTCCCCCTGCTTTCTTCTGTCACCTACCCTTCTCCCCAACCCCAAGTAACATGTTTCAGATCTGCATACAAATCCCTTAACCCTAGATCAATGTCCCTCCAACTTGCCAGTTCACTGTTTACTTTTCTCTAGATGAGTGTAGTTGCATGGCTTTCTTTATTCAGTTTATTTTTTAAAAGTCTAAATAAAATGATTGCTGTGTTCTCAGATCCATATGTATTTGGCATGAAATTCTTGTAGCCGTTTGTGGAATCTGCCTTTTTCATTCTTTTTATCTGATAAGTAAAATATAGAAAAATTTGGTTAAGCAGACTTGGCCTTATCTGGACACACTTGTTATCCTGTACAGGAATCTCCTTCAAACAGGGCTGAGTTGCTTTTTGTTTTTGATGGGGGGTAGATCGTTGGTTGGTTACTGATTCGTTTTCACCAACCCTGTTAAAAGGATGTCTTTCCTTGAAATCCACCTTCATTCAGAGTTTAAGAAAAGGCCAAATGATTTTTAGGGAAATGTAGAAAATTAGGATGTTAAGAAGAGCAAGGGTCTGAGCATGCTTTAATTTAAATTTTTGAATGGGAAATCTGGTGTGCTCGTTTGAAGGCTTGGCTGTGGTGCTCAGTCTGGGTGCTAGTTGGGTGGTGCTTTGCTCTTTGGAACAAGATTATGCCCCAAGTGCAGTGACATAGTCCACCTTGAGCACCCTGTACTAAATTAAACAAGTGGTTTGATTTCTTGGGAGGTTTGGTTTAAATGCATTTGTCTAATGGTTGAAAGGAGGTTGAGAGTGGCATGTAGCTTCAGCCAATCTTGTTAATGTAAACATTTAACTGCCAGCCTGTCTCTACCTGCTTCTATTTTGGTTCCCTTGTTAGAAAGAATCAGAATAATCCTCTCCCCCTGAGGAGCAGGGGCAAGTCAACTGCTTCCAAGGTGGGCTTGCATCAGATTGGCCATCGGATGGATTGGCCATTGATCACAGGATGGGGTGGGAAGCTTGCCAGCAGACAGCTGTGTGGAATGGGAGGAGAGAGCCTGGGAGCCTAGGCAGTCTTGGGCTCTAGGACATAGTGTCTCTCAGCTGCCTGTGGAGGGCGAAAGGTTTCAGGACTAAAGCACTTGATCAGAAGTGTTCTTTTTTCTCCAGCGATATATCCCACCTACACTCACATTTCTCCTTATATTTATATTTAAACTTTGCTCCATTTTGCTCTAATGTCCAATATTTACTATAACCCTTAACTCACTAAACTGGCAAGTTTATTTTTCCGTTTGTTTTGTTTTTAATTGTCATTACATTTCCACTTAACAATTTGTTTCACTTTCTTTGTGTTTTGTTATTTTTTTTTTTGTCTTAAGTTACACTATTAACCAAAACACTAGCGTTCCTAAAAGAGCAAAAGTATGTGCCATATCTTCTTGTTTGCACCTTTCACTAATGAGCCCCTGTTTGATATGGGTTTACTGATGATGCACCTAAAACGGTGGTAGCCAAAGCTTCTGTAGCTTTCTGGCAAGAGGCTCACTTTAAAATAAATAATACAAAGCAAAGATTTGCCAATATTCCAACATATATTAATTGGCTTTTTTGGGGCAGAAGAATAATGTCAGAAATTGATGAAGTGAGATAGACATTTCAAGCCTGTCCTTTAGGAGTTTTTATTATCATTATTTATTAAAAAAAAAAAAAACAACTTGGAGCATGAAGTGTAGATTTTGTTGGTAGCTCACAGCATTCCTGTCTTAGATGAACAGTACTTCTGAAGAGAGATGTAGCTTTTTGGTGGTTCCAGGTCGAACAGCCTATTGTCGGGCTGTGTTGTGCACATGCAGAGGCACCCCTGAGAGCATTTGGGGGAACGATGCAGGAGGGATAGGCCTTCCTAGTGGGAAATCATGCAGTGTAGAAATGGATTGAAATGTTGTATGTTCATTTTTTAATGTCATTTGTATTAATAAAATTGAAATTTACATTGCAGACTCAGTCCGCTAGTAGCACACTCCAGAAACACAAATCTTCCTCCTCCTTTACACCTTTTATAGACCCCAGATTACTACAGATTTCTCCATCTAGTGGGACAACAGTGACTTCTGTGGGTAAGTAAAGGAGCAACAAGAAAGCAGCTGACAAACAGGACTTGGTCACTTTGTATTGGTCTTTCTGATGGCTGAGGCATGGCATGGTGGTTGTTTGCAGGCACAGACCTCGGATACAGAAACACCCATCCCGCTTGCATTGCCTTATTTGCAGTGAGCTGCATAGTCAGTTTCCTTTTCCCATATACATTTCTTACAAACTTCTTTTTCTTGAGAAAGAGTCCGTTACAACACGTGAATATTTACTGAGGTGTAGCAGGGGAGGGAGGCAAGTGCATTGTTTGTGTGTACAGAAAATAATTTAAAGTATATCGTGTTCTAGTGGGATTTTCCTGTGATGGAATGAGACCAGAAGCCATAAGGCAAGATCCTACCCGGAAGGGCTCAGTGGTCAATGTGAATCCCACCAACACTAGGCCACAGAGTGACACCCCAGAGATTCGTAAATATAAGAAGAGATTTAACTCCGAGATTCTGTGTGCTGCCTTATGGGGTAGGTATTGTACTGCTACTATGACTCTCTTTTTTTTTTTTTAATTCTGAAGGGTGGACTGGTCTTTTAGAGAATTACTATTTTGGATAGTTTGGGGAGTTTTTAAAGGGTTGTTAACAGATAAGTTGGAAAACTTTTTTTTTTTTTTTTAATGTTTATTAATTTATTTATTTTGAGAGAGGGGCAGGGGGAGACAGAGAGAATCCCAGGCAGAGCATGGAGCCTGATGGCAGGCCTCAATCTCACAACTATGAGATCATAACCTGAGCTAATATCAAGAGTCAGACGCTCAACCTTCTGAGCCACCCAGGTGCCCCTGGTGGGAAGACTTCTGCGATGCCCACCCTTGTAACCTTTTCCTAAAGAATCATGTAGGCACGTGTATGTTCATGCACTTGTTTCAGTCAACGGCTAACCTCCTATTTCTTCACGTAAAGAAAAAACTAGAAAGATGAGAAAGACATTCAAGTTGGTCCTTATTTATAGGGAGAATGAAGAAATTTGTTGGATTGCAGTTTGATGTTTTTCCTTGCCCTTCATGACTTGGGCCTCACATGGAAATGAAGTTTTTAAAAGCAGTTTTTTACTGGCCGGAGTCTGCAGAAGCAGACTGTTGTACTGACTTTCTCCGTTGCCTGTCTGCAGTATTGGTGTAGCATATTCACAACCTAAGACGCCACAAGAGACTAAGTCTGCCATACGCAGGACTACACCCTCTCATGTTCTGAACCTGGCCTCTCTGTCATCACCTTCCTTGCTCCCACAGACAGAACCTGTCTTAGAACTTGTCTTCTAGTCCCATGCTGTGTTTTTGTTCTTCTCCTGCCTGAACCCCAAAATCTGTTTTCAGTAGGGACCCATTTCTAATCAGAACAGTGTCTCCTTCCCTTGACATTACAAGTGTAAGTAGACAGAAGACATGCGATCCGTTTTGGTTGAGTGCGCAGCACGTCTGTCCGATGACTGCTCTCCTGCCCCTTTCACCAGCTCCTACTCGGTCTTCTCCCGAGAGGTTCAGGAGAGTCCTTTCCCCTTTGCAGACACACCTGCTTTCTCTTTCACTTTTTGAATTCTGGGTTTCTGTCCTTGTCACCACTGAGTATCTTAAGTCTCCTATATCAGAAGGCCTTTTCTGTATTGACCTTGTAGGTAAAGGTAACAATAGCCACTTGGAGGGGGATTACTAGGATCATGTGAAAGCAGCTGGCACAGCATTGTCACCGCATGGCACTGTTAGTGTTGCTGCATGAATGCCAGTTGTGATCACATCATGGAATGGAGTTCCATCATGTCCTTTCTTTTTAAAGGCCTTTTGTGGGGGTGTGTATATCATCAAAATTGATACATTATATTTAGTGTAGAAATAGTGTTAAGTAAGTTAATTCTTTGGAAATTGGTGAAATAATTTTTATCTGGAACGTTTGCACTTGGTAGCAGTCTTACACTGATTTTACACTAATGTCCTACAAAGTGCTGGACTCTGTTCTGTGCCATTAGCTGATTTAATGAAAATCCTCCTTCTAATGAACTTCTTTAATACCTCAGAGAATAAGAGAGTATCCCGAGCTTGTGTTTTTAAAAATGTGGTAGAACTTTCCGTTTTATCAGTATGTGGAAAGGAGTGATAGGCAAGATGACTTAAAGTTGAAATGCATTTCTATAAATCCATGTATTTGAGTTGCTCCTTGGCTCGGGGCACATCAGTGATGGGTTTCCTTAAACTGCCTGCTAAGCTAAAAAGTAAGTTAAAAAAACAAGCCTTTTAAGTTAAATTTAAAAATAAGCTTTTTAAAGACTTAAGACACAGAAAAGTTAAGACATGTACTTTGAGAGTGGTAGCCTGACAAGGGGAGAAAATTCAGAGGACTCTAGAGTATTAGTTTGAAATGGTGACATTGATGCATTGAAAGTCAGCTGACCAGTGTTAGATAGGTTAGACACGCTTTTTGTGTGCCCTCTTAGAAAATGCTGGCCTCAGGGCACCTGGGTGTTTCAGTCAGTTAAGCACCCTACTCTTCGTTTTGGCTTAGGTCATGATCTCATAGTTCGTGGAATGGAGCCCTGTGTCGAGCTCCGTGCTGACAGCACGGACATGCTTGGGATTCTCTCCTCTCTTTGTCCCTCCTTGCTTGCTCTGTCTCAAAACAAATAAACTTAAAAACAAAACTTTTAAAAAGAAAATGCTAGCTTCAAGCATTCTTTTTTAATCATCTTATATAATTGACTTCTGCTTTGTAAGATGCTACCTATTATATTTTTGTAATAAGACGGTTTTCCCATTCACAGCCAGGATTATTTTAACACACATTTTGAACATGATTGTTCCAGCTTTTTTTTTTTTTTCTTTTCTTTTCTTTTCTTTTCTTTTCTTT